TGGTTTGATAGATGCTCAAGAAAATCAAAAGACATTGGATTTTCTTACTTGGGGGAACTTTACTGCCTCTACTGTCAGACAGAGGTGAAACTGACAGGGCTTAAAGACTTCTTGGACTCCTAAGCTTGCAACTCCACTCTGTTCAGTACTCTGCTTTTGTGAGGAAGGGGTTTACAACCACCTGAGTTAACAACACTGAAAGAGACACAGCATCAGCCTTCAGAGCTGCAGAGAGGTAGACGGTATACATTCAGAAGAACCATTCTGCAGTTTTCTTCAATTTGTTTGGATTTGCTGATTTAATTCTGAATCTACAGTTTACAAAATACACGCAAATCTTTTGTTCATATTATATTTAAAAATGTTTTCCTATGTACAGATTTAGAGATAATCAAAAGACCTTCCTAAAAATTATGTAAACTGAAAAATTTTATTCCTCAAGCAGTTTGCAATTTTTGCTGCTACTGCTCCATAATTTACACCACGTTAAACATATACAGTGGTAGTTACAGCTACCCTGGAACTAAATTTTTCAAATTTGCTTCAGTGTAAGGATTTGAAAAATAAGGGTTGCATAAACCCTGGCTCATGTAAAGAACCATATCACCTGTACTTTCTGCGACTAAGTCAGTATGTTTGGAATGATGATGGCATAATGTTTTCATTTTCCCTGACTCTTAATCTCCACTATGATACTTACTCCGAAGACTTCACTTTCCTGCAGAGCAAAATTAATACTTCTAGAATACTTTGGTATGACTAGCTGTCCCACTTTTCCCTAAAACTAACACTTTAACTGATGGCTGATTTACTTGACATATGTTAATATAATATTTAACAAGTACAATATAAAATCASTCTTGAAACAGTATATACCAAGTTTCATCAAATCAACTAAAAAATATCCTAGGGTTTGACTGAAGAGAGCATATCCAAATTCCTGGAAAAAAAAATGAATACAAAAGAAAATTGGAAGCTATTTTTCCCTCAAAAAACCCCAGCTGATATTTCAACTATCTTGCATTCATCACCATTATTAAGAAAAAAAGAGAAATGTAACCAAAGGATTGTATCTGACACAGAATGCATGCTATTAGCCCCCAGATACAGACTGCCTATACTTGAAAGCAATAATTGAAATTACCAGTTCAAACATGTTGGACTTTAAAAGTAAATCTGATTTACTCTGAAAAAAAATTCAGTCCCAATTATCAAAGGTACATGTACAAAAAGTAAATTATTTCCGTATTAGGCTTGGCTGCAGATAGTGTTTATGAACGTTTTTTAGAACAGGGGAGTTTTTAGTACAAACCATGTATGTTCACTTGTAAGACTTACTGTGACACAATTGCTTTCTGTAATTTACTTTGAAAGATCTGTCAGGTAGTTTAGTGTTATAGGTAAGAGCTTAGAGAGAAAAAATTCTATATGGACTAATGAGTGTTTTTCAGACAGTTGAAGAACAAAAAAGGCTTTTAAAGAGAAAGAGCAGTATTTGCAGGAAAAAACACACAAGCTCCCTAAAAAGCAAAATGCAAAAAAAAAAAATTAAAACAATTAAAAATACAGAGGAAAAAATTGGCTCCACTAATACTAAATTACGGTCTTTACATCCCATTAAGCAAGACTTTGTCTTAATTACCCCCATATAAGTATCACTGTCCTGTCAGAACTCATCCTGACCTAGAGATGATGGTACGATGGTACAATGATTACCTGCATGATGCTGTCACAATAGGCGTTAGAAGCCAGAGAGCAAACTAAGCATTAGTCACATTTCAAACAATTGGGTACAGAAACTATATACAACAAATGCATTGTTTTTAGTTAGTATTTCTGTTTCCCTTTTTACAGTCAGCTGCAAACAGTTCTGCTTAGGGAAGAGACAATTGTGGCTTCTATTCTCAAACAGCATCTCCAAAGTAGTAACAAAAGAAAAATTCCAGAGCAGAAGCCATGCAACCAAGAATGAAGGAAAAGCACTAAATAAACAAATAAAGCAAAGAATTTTGAAATGATGGTGATTAGGCTTTTCTAAGAGTGGAAAAGGAACACAACACACATGAGTGAAATCAATTACTAAAAAGCAGGACACAGACTATCTGCAGAAAAATACTTTATTCTATTAACAGAAATTAAACTCTTGATTGTCAATAATTGGAATACTGGGAAAGACCGGAATGACCCCTTTAGAAGCATTTTATATTTCCTACATTTCTTTGAGGTCAGTAATTAAGTGAGCTCAGTGACACCTGGCAAGGTCAGAAAGAGATCGTACCACATTTGATAGTTTTAAAACAAATCTGTTGTGTATGAGTCTCTGAAAGATATATGCTTCTCGTTATTAAACAGATGAACTTGCATAAAGCTCTGCATAGTTACTTTTCTTTCAGTTCATTAAAAAAAAAAAAAAAAAACAAAAAAACCCAGTACTTTTCTTATGACAAATTATATTACTATAGTAATTACTAGACATGGTGAAGTATTGCCATCTACCTCACTGAAAACAATCCACCCAAGGCAAAAGACTGTAAGCTAGTAGACTGCTTTCCCCAATAAAGACTAACAAGTATTTTCTTTCCTCAGCAAAAGTGTGGACTGATGCTACAAATACCAAACATAAAAGATGACATCTAAAAAAATACTCATAATTCTTGAGATTTTTACTTCTGGTACTTGTAGGTATCACATCCCTCAAATGTGAAGGCTGCACATAAACAGAGAAGTACTAAGGATAATAGTACTTTACAGTAGATATGCCACTGGAAATAACAGTAGAGTCTTCAATAGCATTGAGCTGGCTTGTTACTTGGATTCCACTCACAGTGATTTGACAGTGAGACTGGAAGAGTATGARTTCTTTACCCATTTACAATTACCCAAGAAAGCGCAAAATGCAGTGTTGATGTTTGGATATACTTTCTCTTCGGCCATGCCTTGATATACCAATAATGGCAGAAGAAGGAAGGCATGGCTTTTACAGGGTGACAGAGAAAAGAAGGACAATTTTTTTTGTTACTTTTATCTCACCTTCTGTGTCCTTTCCCCACTAAAATGAAGTAACATGGGGGTCCTGACACTCTTCGGGAAGAATTTCAAGAAAAGCACTAGATGAAAGTAGATTCTGGAACTCTTACAAAAAAAAGCAAGACAAAACAAGAGCAAGAATATCTGCAAAAGCAGAGGCCAGAGCAACTCCAGCACAGCAGGAACTTTTCTCCAAAGGAGAAGGGCTAATCATGGAAGAAGACACATCTTTCTATGTGCCTGCATGGAAGGCTCATGGATGCTGTCCTTTCTCTTCACCCAGGCCACAAATGTGGAGATATAATGTGTCTCTCAAGTAAAGTACTGTGTATAATTAAAATGTGCCTATACTATGACTCTCAAAGAAATTAGTAAGACAGATGAACACTAATTTACCACTCGCAGTATAAATTCAATATTATATAGAGCTATATAAACATATATATGACAAAAAATTTAATTAATACCATATAAAGAATACCATTTTCATATATGTATATAATTACTCAAGCAACTTAAAAGCTGGTGCATATAAAATACTTGAGAACCATCATTTCATTCTGAGAGAAACTGTCACAAAAAGCCAATCTGTGCTTCTTACAACTTTTAAAATAGGTAGAATACTACAACTGCAAAACTGTCCAACATATGGGCCCAGTTCCCAATTAATTATTTGCTGGCTAAAGTGTTAAAATGTCCTTGGCTTCACCTTCGACACAATCATCCCAGCTGGTCATTATCTAACTGGAAAGGGGCCAAAGAATCTCAGCTGTCAGTACGCAACAAACATGTATGTTTTTTGTCCTTTTTTTCTTCCATTTACTTCACTTTCACATAGCTATACTTAGAAGAAGGAAGTCTTACTATGTATGAAATTGAAAAAGGTTATTATCTATTTTACTGCTGTGACTCAATATACCTGGAGTGGAGGTGATAAGTGGAGCTAAAAGGAGCTCTTCTATATGCATTTAGTGAGAACTGATTCACCCCACTTCACTAATGCTATTCTATTACTCTGTGCTCTTGATTTAAGAGACTTGCAAAAAAAAAACCAGAAGCCTTCTAAAGACAGAGCTGAAACAAAGTGATTGACTGGTCATGTATCTGCATAGCGTCAGGAAGTACTAGCAAAGTAGGAAAATATCCCTCAATGAAGTGAATGTCAGCAGTCATCTCGTTGCCAATGTAAACACAGTCAGCTTGCAGCAAACCTGCAGTTCAACAGGTGGAAAGCAAATGGCTTTTCTCATTTGCACATTACTTGTACAAGAAGCCATAGGACAGCTGGGAGAAGAAGGAACACATGTAAACAAGGCAGATCTAGTGATTTCCTAATTAAAAAGAAGATATTATCTTCCCATTAATAGATAAACTAATTGAACAAACTCCAAGAGCTTCCCCTCAGTACAARTAAACATAGGTGCCTTCTTTCACTGAATTGTCACATGTTTAGGCCAGCCACTAAGTTGTCAGTTCTGCTTGATTTGTTTGGATACCGTACTCTGCGACAGCTGTCGGAAATAATACATTAGAACAGCTGTTGCGGCAGTTACAAAGGGACTGGAATTTTAATTGGACTGGATATTAATTGGGATGGGACCTTTTTTTTTTTTTTTTAGATCACAGTTAAGTCAGAAATATTTCAAGAATGACAGATGTCTTTAAGATATTTGACCAATGTCTGGTAAGAAAGGTTGGTCTTTGTTTTGACTGTGTTACTTTGTAGCAATGGCCTCCATTATTTTAGCATGAATTGCTCATGCTTAAGAAAAGAGAGTATTAAGAAGAACAGTATGGAAGTTGTATGAACAATTCTTTTCAAATACTAGTTGTGATTTAGAGAGGACCTTGCAGAGGGTTTTTTAAAAATCACTCAGAAGGAAACTCTATCTGAGGACTCTTACTAACCACCATCTGAAAACAAAACTATTCATGATGGCCAAGACCTAAGCACAAAAAAAWATTAAGCTTACTTTCAGCATCAGCATAGAGTAGCAAGCACAGGAGCACCACCACTGGCCTGACTACGTGCATCGTCCGACAGCTTGGCACCAGCATGCTTTGGCAGCCTTGATCTCACTGGCTTAGAAGCCACTGCGAGTCTGTCCGGTCTGAAATTTCAGATGAAGTATTTTCAGAGCCTGTGAAAAGATAAAAATACAATTAACAAGAATAGGACAGAGTTCTTTTTTTTTGTTGCTTTTACACATTCACAATTTGAGGCAAAACAATTTTAAAAGACAAAGGTTAAGGCAGAAAGGAAAAGAAACACCATTAATTTCACACTACTGGTATATACGAGAAGATTTGAGGTCCTGTATATATGTTAGCACTGTAACAACACCTTTCTTAGGGCATCTTTACCTCACAATCAAGCAATTGTTACATCCTGAATCTTCAGTTGTATTCAACAGCATTTTCTGAACCACAGAAACTGATTTGTTGATGAAGTTTAAGACATCACTGGAACTCACTTTGCAAAAAGGTAATCAAAGCAGATTAGTTATCCATAATAAATCCACATGCAAACAGGGAGTTGATGCCTTGGCATCTGGTAAGAATAGCACCACAAATTCTGTTTTAGGAGGTATTATTAACATATTTTAGCATAGTTTAACAACTTTCAAAGGTTAACATTCCTGTCGTGAGTTCCTGTACATATCTGAGTTATGCTTAATAGAAAAACTGAAATCTGGCATTGAATAAAGAGCTGAGATCCCAATTCATTCCATTTTGTTCAATCCGTTTCATTTATTACAATGCATGATTGAATACGATACAGCAGTAGAACTACAGCTCAACTCCCTGACTTGAAAGAAATGTGTCTCATCTTTGTCCAAATATGGCACACGAATAGAAATTAAGGAATATGAAAGTATTTTCCCCTAACACAGGAAATACTAGAGATTTCCTATGCAACTTGACATGGTCACTAAAATAACACGAAATGCAATCACACCTTCTGAATGATCTGCAACGAATAAGCTTTGGTAAGTTTGATACTACTTGTTCATTACTACATAAGTGGTTTCCATGCAGTAAAGATGAAAATCAAGAGGACAAAGAAAAAAGTATACTAATTATCATTCCAATAAATAGATCTTACAGATTTGTGGATGGCATAAAGAACCCATTTTCAACACAGCAAAATGTTTAGAAGAATTTACTCTAGAAAGGAAAGACATAAGCAGCTGGTAGAAATCTATGCTATGTTATGAATCTCTTGTAAAACTATCTTTTGAATCAGCTACTGCTATCAAAAAATACAAGCCTAAGAAATCTTCATAAGCAAAATGCTAAAGGCACCAGCACTCCCCTTTCATCGCTACCATCTTCATGCCAGCATTTCAAATGACAGCAAAGTCCATGAGACACCAGTCCTGTCGGACTCAATTTGTGTCTGTGCAAGCGTATCAGAGCCAACTGCTGTGTAATGATTCCAATGCWATCGCAAAGATGGAGATGTATGAAATGTACTTTCAAGGAAGAGGTGATTTTTATTTTGCTTTTTCTGGAATGCAGGAATTACAGGGAGAGCCCTGAAATATCTCCAAAGGCAGCTCACTTAAGAACAAAACTATCTTTTCATTAGCACACAACCGCAGCAGCTGATGTGTGAAGGTGAATGGAAAAATGTGGTGGATACTAAGTACTCCCCTATTCCTTTCAGGAGAGGAAGAAAAGAAGAAACAATACTGATAATTAATAGGGGAAGCAGAGAAGAGGGAAAAGTGGTGACCACAAAGGCACTTGTTTTACACAACAGTTTTTTAATGGGGCACTGGAGATTATTTTCATACCTTTCAAGCACTTCCATCAAAATATTATATGTAATGTCTAACAGAAAAAAGTATTACTGCCTGCTTAGGGAAAAGAGGAATTTTAAAAACCTCATGATCCTGATATGTGAATATGCATTTATCCTCTACAAGCTATCTGCAAATTAAAGGATGTATCACAAAACCTGCCGAAGAAAAGGCTGAGAATAAAGAAGAGCATTTTTTTTTCTTTCTTTTTAATAAAATCCTCATTGCATTCTCTCATTCTAAATGCACATACAACCACTTGGGTATATTGCCTCATTGTCTCTGCTTTGAAGGTAATATTCATTATCACTAGGTCATAAAATAAAAGCCCTCAGTATTCCCTGTCTTTGATGTTTCTGAGAGTCATAGTTTTAACTAACCTGACAAACACACTAAGATTTCCAGGAGACCCTTTGTTTGTTGTTTGTTCTCCCTCTTTGCCTCCTTAGGCCTTCACAGCAATTTGTACTATTTTAGGTCAAGGAAACAGCAGCACTTGAATAAATGCGTACTGAGCTRTGTGTCTTTCAAGTGAGTTTAAAATACACTGATAATGGAGGCATGAAGGTGATGGGCTGCTAATACACCAAGAAGCAAACCAAGAGACATTCAGGTACTTTCAAGGTTCTCCACATAAGTATGCCTCAGCTTTTCCCACAAAGAAAACAAACCTTCAGACCCTGCTACTGACAATTGTACCAACACTGAAATCATATCACATGGTATGGAGGTCTGTACTTGGCTTACTTGTGAAAATTAACATGAAGATGCAATTCCTTAGAAGGACTAAATGAAATTACCAAGAAAACTATCGGCTTCCACATCAAGCCACCTTGGTAGCTCCAAACTGAAGGGCTCATCCAAAGCATTATTAATTCTTAAATGATATAATTCCTTCCCTTCTCTTTCCTCCTACAGTGGTTTGTTACACCCAAGAATGTGGTACCAAAGACAGTGAAAACACAAACAGCATTTGCAGTACCGGATTACTCTAGCCTTGTCACCAGAGGACCAATATTTGCCTTGCAGAATTAATCCTGAGTGATATACTCTCTTGGCAGCCCTTAATACAACATTTACACTGCATGAGGGCAGGAAGATGGWGCTTCTCCTTGGCACAAGATCACAACTGCTACACAGAGATCAACGGTTCTTTCACAAAAATCTCTCTTTGTGAACCTTTAATAAAACCTGTTCTTATTTTAGGTTAAGTGCTGCATAACTGCTATATTAAATAATCAAAAATGACTTTTTCAATATCTCTAAAAGAGCTACCTGAAACTAGGTAATATATCTAACAATAACACATAGATAAGTAAGACGATAGATTTTCCCTGATTAGTGCTATCTAGTAACAGGATCGGTAGAAGTGCAGATGTGCAGCTCTCCAGTGTTCAATACAGAGACAAAAAAGAATTCTTCTCAGCAGAAGCATAGCAAATGATAGCACCAGGGCATGGGCACATGCACCAATTATTCTCAMAAGGATCAACATTGATGAATGAAACATCTGAACACCAAAATGCTTCCCTACAGTCTCTTTAGTAGCAAAAATAACCTTTTAGGTGCTATCATGGTACTCACAAGATGGTTCCTGCTCCCAGACAGTTGTAGGAAATGCATACCTGGGGGCAAATTTTAGAACCAAAAAAAAGTAAACACTATTTTCTTTATCTGCTTGTTTTTCCACGCCTGCATTTACGTGCTTGCTAACCGTGCATTTACGTTCCACACGTGCATTTACGTGCTAACACAGAAATTTAACACAGCAGGCGAGAGTTGCCAGAACAAACCTGAACATGGACAAAAAAGACCTCAGATGTAGGGAGCCACACTGAGAAAAATAACAAAATAAACAATTACTTCCAAAATTTTGGAAGAAAGGGATTACAATGGTATGTGAGTTAATTTGTACTGCAAACAGGACTTCTGGTTCAACTTTTCCAAAGTTTCAAATTGCTCAGAGAGATGATTTTAGTTCATGGTCATCTCTGATTTATCTCAAAGGCTTCCCACAGAAACCCCCTATGTTTCTCCATAAGAAAATAACTGCATACATCTTGTATTAAAGCCCCCCAAATGACATTTCTCTAAAAGTACATTGAAGCAAAGTTTAGAATAGAAGACTGCACTGAAATTCTGTTTCTGCACTTCATTCATCACATCCACAATCCTGAATTACATCAATTTCCAAGCCACAAATTTCTAACATCATACAAATGTAAGAGAATGAATACAAAAAAACAAATCCAAAACATTACTAGAATTAGAGATGGAAAAAGTGTAAATACTTCCTGTATTTGCATATCAACCATGAACCCTCCTTAAAGAAAAAAATAAACAACTTTCATGGGCAAATCTTGGCTGCAAAAACCTAACTGACAGCTGAATCATTATTAGAAAGAATAGAAAATAATGCATAAAATTAATTCTCATAAGCTTTTTAATCAAAATCAATTCAGAAATACCTCTGGGTAAAACAATGTCTTTTCAAGAGAATTAAATGTATTTTCCAWAGCAATGAGGGCAACTGGCAGAAGAAGAAGTTTCACATTTCATTTGCTCTTTTATTGATTAAACATGATAAATGTTTTCACAGTTGACCTGCTGGAGAAGTCCCATGTTTCATTATGCTCTTATTCTTAAAAAATTCAAAATGCAAACACATGATTAAGGAAATTTAAAAGACAGCTGTGCTGAGTGTTCAAAAGTTTAGTCTTACCAGTCTCTGGATAACAATACACCCTAATGCTTGTCTATCATTCGTGAATTTCTCTGTTATACGAGCATGAGTGAGCACCCGTCCTAGCACAGTAGGTTTCTGATGTTATGCAAGCATTTGAGCTACATCACTATAAAAGCACAAACAAGTTGCAGTGATATATGGAATTCTGCTTATATATAACAATATATTAATCTCATTCCATTGTACTGTATCCTATCATACCATTCTACTGCAATTCTATTTTAGACTGCAATAAGGATTCCTCTACTACCATAAAAAACAGCAAGTGGATTTTTGGTAACTGAAGAAATAAATTAAATTGCTTAGTGAATAAATCAACTCAGTGACAGCAAAGTACCTTGAAATCACATCACTGGGATGTTTTTCTCATACAAAAAGGTTTTTTTGGGTTCCTGGTCTTTCACTTACAAAAAGACTTATTTTCATATGCAATCTTTAACCATATACAGAAAACTCTGCCTAGCCTGATCTTTGTATACCTTCAGTTCCATTCTAAATTATGAATTCAAATACCAGTTGTAAGTTGACAGGTTTCTCTATGCTTACAAACTTCTGCCATCTTAGTCACTTCTGCAGGTCATAAGAACTT